GTCAGAGGCTGTAAAGGGTTTGGGGGCTTGAGGGGGCTGTCGGTTTGGGGATTAGGGGTTGCTTAGCACGTGGAGAGCTACACCCGATCCGCCGTCAGAGGAGGCCGTGTCTGCACTGGTTTATCATCCACGGCGGGGTCTTTGAAAAGGGCCTTGGCCCGGGTGTCACCCCAAGCAGTAACAGCCCGAAGCCCCAAAACCACAGAGGCCCAAGTCCGAAAGACAAAACCCCGAAGCCCGAACTTGAACCCAAAGTTGCCAGAGCCCGAAGTCAGTTCAAGCCCTCTTTCCGAGGAAAAGCCGGGCTCCCGCCCCAGCTGGTGCTCGATCCTGCCGAAAGCCCGGAGCCCGGTGGTGGAGGACCGCTTAGGGCTTGCAAGTATGGGGTTTGGGGTTTACGGTATAGGATCTAGGGTTCAGGGTTTAGGGCTATAGAGTCTTCAGGGTGTGGGCATCGAGCTAGTCTTCGTCTTCTTGCGTGCAAGCTGCTGATGTGATGTATATTATGTTCTAGGCTTTCGGGCATAAGATCTCGAGTTGGGGACTTTCGGCTCTGGAGGGTAAGGTATCAGGAAGCAGGTGGGGTTCAAGCTTTGGACATGTGGCCGCCTTCGCAGGGAAATAGACACCGGGATATGCCAGGCGTCAGGGACCACATCGCCATGCCGCCCCCTTCGTTGGCGTTTTTTTTCCCAAGCCAGGGAGCACACCTGGAGCCGAATTCTTGATCTCGAACATGGCGCATCTGTTCCAGATCCTCAACCTCCCAACTTGGAGGTTCATGGGCAGTTGTCAGTGGGAAGTAGGGTAGCTATAGACTATAGCTATACCCCATATTGGAGGACTTATAGCCCCACTTATAACTATGCATGAACCTTCAAGAACCCCAAGCCTGAATCCTGAGCCTTCACCACCACCACTTCCTGGATCCGACTCCAGGCCCCACAACCCAAAACCAGAAGCCCACCATAGGGGCCAAAATAATTACAAATTCTATTTTGGCGGTTCCTTCTTATAACTATAGTATAGTATACCCCAAAACCTTATTCTAATTCCAAAGGCCCCTATATTACGTGAAAGCTCAGATCTAAACCGCTCAGAAATCCGAGGTCCCGAGAGCGTGGCTGTGCTGCTGGCCGCCAACGCTGCCAAGGCCTGGGTTGGGGTGGTGTTTCCTTTTGATTTCTTTAAGGGTTTAGGGTTTAGGGTCGTGTTTCCTTTTGATTTCTTTAAGGGTTTAGGGTTTAGGGTTTTGGGTGGTGTTTCTTTTTGATTCCTTTAAGGAACCCGAAAAGGGACCCCAGTGTAGAGAACTACCCATGTGGTGTTTCTTTTTGATTCCTTTAAGGAACTCTAAAAGAGACCCTAAGAGAACTACCCATGTGGTGTTTCTTGCAGACCTTCAGTAAAGACCAACAGCGTTTCGCCAGATGGTTCCATGCATGGTTTCAGGGAAACCAGTGGCACCCTTTCGGCAGGATGCTGACGCACTTTTCGTCCCTGAGAGTAAGTTGCCACGTAAACCCTAAACCCTTGGCCAAAAGCCCATTGCAGGGGTTTGCTCGCACAGCCCGGATCGTTTTGAGCAGCAAAGTCGGCTTAGCCCTTACCTTCTTCCCTCAAGTCCGAGTCCCAGAGAGCCCAGTACCCCTTAGTTGGGAATTGGGGGTTCCATTAAAGGGATGCTACTATAAGGTTTGAGGGTTATTAGTCATAAGGGTTCAGGGTTCCTTCAAACGGGGTCTAAGGGCTTCTATAAGGGGCTTAGGGACCAGACATTAAACTAGAGGGGCCGTAAGTGTCATGAGTTCAGGAATTTTTTATTTCAGGGTAGTGGGCCTTTTTGGGGCGCACTGGTTGAAAACCTTTCCACCGCGGACGACGGGCTTGCTTTCCCATGCCTTCAAGGCCCAGTACCCAGAGCATAGACCCTAAACCCTAAACCCCAAAGAAAAACCCTAAATCATAGACCCTAAACCCTAAAGTACTCTAGACCCCAACCCCGAATCCTCAAACCCCAGAGCCGTCATAGGCCCTTGTCCTAAGCCCTAAACCCTAACCCTAGACCCTGAACCCTGAACCCTAAACCCTAAACCCTAAACCCTAAGCCCAAACCCTAAACCACTCCAGAACCCTGCGCCCAGCGAGTGCCCAGCGAGGCGCCGGTCATGTCGCAGCGGCCAGCGCCCGCGTGGGTGAACGAGCCTCCTGCACCCCAATGCCGTAGAGTTCAGGGGTTTAGGGTTTAAGGGTATAGGGTTTTAGGGTTTAGGGTTTAGGGTTCAGGGAGGGAGGGATTTCGGAAATCGAGTACGGGACCGCATCGAGATTTTGTTATACTTGATGCCGCAGTTCGCTTTGAGGGGTATGTCGTCATCAGGTGCAGAGGAAATCTCTCGCGCTGCGAGTTTCCATGACGTGTGGGGCGTAGGTTTGCAGATTGCTTTGCGTTTAGCCAGCATTGTCTGTACTTGTTCCTGCAAACATTGACGTTAGCTTCCAATAAATGCCTGCCTTCTCTCATAGTTGAGAGGCTCGAGGAGCCACTTGAACCCCCGAGGCCCAAGCCCTACAAACCGAAGCCCCTTCACTCAACAACTCCAAGCCTGCTGCCTCAAGCCCGAGTCGTCAAATCTCAAAGACCGAAATGCTGAAGCGGAACATGCAGCCTTAAGACGTTTTAGCGGAACAGGGTGTCGCTAGCCGACATAGATGGAGTACCCGTAAGTCTTGGCCATTTAGGAGCTTCAACCAGCCGCGACTTGCGACATTCTTTCTTGCTACACCTGCTCTGAGGAAGTAGAATACCGGTGGTATAGTAGTGGGTTACAGAATCCTAAACAAATCATGTCGGCCCCGATGTCGACCTGTCGGGATGTGTTGCCACAGAACCGAGGCCGCATCGGCTGGAAGCCGTGTTTCGTGCAGCAGTGGGCGGAGAAACAGGTGTAAGCTGCAACCGGACTCTTTGGGTTTAGGGTTCAGGCTTCCTAAGGTTAGGAGTTGAGGCCGTTGGGTGAAAGTGGCTGCATGTGCTCTTTGGCATCAGGATACCGGTTTGAGCCTTCTGGAGGGCTGGTGAACTTATGTAAGCTGCTTCTTCTTGCTTGACTGTACTACAGGAAGCAGGGACGCGGATCGTGGAGCCCTGCCTGCGAAGAGTCTTGAACCCGGAGCCCTAAAGCCCAGGGCATCAGCGACCCTGGCAGACGTCCTATAGGTTTTTGTTTTTGAAGATGTCCCCTGTCTAGCAGGTTTGCTGTTGGTTGCATTTCAAGGAGGCTTTTGCAGACATGTGCAGGTGGGTTGAAGCAGTTTTGCGAGATACCGGTGCACATGTACGGAGGTGTATGTATGTACGTATGCACATATGCACATATGTACTTAAGTACGCATGTACGCATGTATGTATGTATGTATGTATGTATGTATGTATGTATGTATGTATGTATGTATGTAGGTATGTACGTATGTCTGCATGCCAGTATGTCTAGATCTCTGTATGCATGTATGTCTGCTTGTATGTAAGGTGCGTGTATGTATGTACACGTTCTGCGTCTGGTTGGCTCAAGATAGGGACGAATGTGCTGTGCCGACGGGTGTGGGACAAGGTGCGGTCTGTGACCAAAGTCCTTCCATGCAGTGCCCCGAGCCCTAGAATCCAGAGTTTTCAACCCATGAGTCCAACCCCGACAGATCCTAAACCCGAAAGCCCTAAAGTCCCAAAAGCTCTTCCGCAAGACCCATGACGCCCGCAACCCCAACAAACCCCCAAATCCCTAACGACAAAGCACCCAGCACTGAGCCCTCAAGCCCGTGAAGGCCCTAAACGGGTCTGTGAGAGAGCTCCACACTTTTATACTTGGAGGTTCATGGGTAGTTATAAGTGGGGTCATAAGTAGGGTAACTGTAGTTATAACCCATATTAGGGGACTTATAACCCTACTTATAACTACCCATGAACCTCCAAGTACGCCTCACCGGGAGTCCCAAGCCCAGTCGTTTTGGAGGAAGTCAACTCCGTCGCTTAGACATGGACAAGGCGTGGCCGCACAGCTTTGCTTGGTTTGGGCTCAGATGTTTTGTTTTTTTTTTTTGGGGGGGGCTACGGGGGTTGTAGGGTTGATAGGTCTTGGTGTTTTCAGGGTTGAGGAAGCTTAGGGTTTATAGTTATGATGGTTTAGATTCATAGGGCTTGCGCATATGGAGTTTAGGGAGTAATTGGGTTTTGGGCCCCTAAACCCTAAACCCTAAATCCTAAACCCGAAACCCTAGACCCTAAACCCTAAACCCTAGACCCTAAAGCCTAGACCCTAAACCCTAGACCCCAAAAACCCGAAACCCTTCTCTCTCGTTCAGGGTTGGAACTTTGGGGCGTGGGAGGCTTCGGGCCGTTTGGGTTTCCTCCGAGGCATGCCATCCCTTGGGAGATGCCCGAAGTGATAGGGTTTAGGGTTTAGGGTTTTGATGATATAAATCCTGCATTACTACCCATAGCAAGGAATATACCACAACTCCCATAGTTTAGGGTCCTTAAGGTAAAGCAGGATTTATATCCTCAACAGTAGGAATGACGATTATTGATAATGACAGGAGTAATACGATTTTTGTTGATAATGACAGCAACTATATGGTCAATCAGAGTAGGAGAAATAGAACAACAGTGTGCGAATAATAACCAGAACAACACTTATCATCATAAATGTTTGGAGTCATATTCAAGCCGGGATAGATAGATGGACGGATAGATAGACAGATAGATAGACAGATAGATAGATAGATGGTCAGATAGAGGAATCATAGCAATAATCCCAACCAGGATACTCAAGATCATGATCACGATCGTAGTGCTAAAGCATCGGGACGGTGTAGGATTTTTTCAGGAGTTTAGGGTTCAGGGGCGTAGGATTTTATGGTTGAGGTTGAGGGCGTAGGGTTTCAGGCTTTAGCCCTAAACCCTAAACCCTAAACCATTTAGGGCAAGCTTTCAGTCCTGCCAGGTTAACCCAGAGCATCTGCCTGAGGCAGGGCCGGGCCAAAGCGCGTCTCTCCGCCGTGTTGCAATTCTGGTTTAGGGTTTACGGTTTAGGGGTTTAGGGTTTAGGGTTTAGGGTTTAGGGTTTGGGGGTTTAGGGTTTAGGGTTTAAAAGTTCAGGGGTTTAGTTTCTGCCAGGTTGCAGGTTAAGGGTTCAGGCCGAGGGTTACTTTTGGGCTTCGAGGGAGACAGGTGTTTTCATCTATGTTAACCCTAAACCCAGAACCCTAAGCCCTAAACCCTCAGCCCTAAACCCTAAACCCTGAATCTATGTTGTGCCTTGCCCAGGTCTATGAACGAAAAACGTTCCCATTCAATCCCTCAGCTGGGCCATCTCCTGCTGACAGCAGACTCTCAACGCCGGCGTCATGTCAGCATAAAGTGAATCCCTAAAGTCAAAAGTAGGGTTTAGGGTTAGGGGTTGGGGTTTAGGGTTTAGGGTTTAGGGTTAAGGGTTAAGGGTTGATCCGCAAGCTCAAACTCCCAATCCACAATTTCGGGCTGAGCCGCCTTGTCTCCACAGCTGCACCCAAGCTCGTCGAGGCATCCTCGCTGAATAAACCCCCAAAGCCCGAGACCCTACATTCTTAAGTCCTAAACTTAAAATCCTGGGACCCGTAAGGGCTGGGATTTGGGTTTAGGGTTTAGGGTTTGGGTTTGGTTTGGGTTTTCTGATCTGAGACCCTGAACCGCCTGAACCCTGCACTCGACACTTCAACCCTGTGCCCACCCCCAGGCTATCTCGGTGCAGTCCAGCCGACATCGTGCTTTAGGCGGCAATCGGCCGCACGTGCTGACGACGTGCCTGGGCATGGTTTCGGGTGGGGTTTTGGTCTTGACCTAAACCCTAAACCCTAAACCCTAAACCCTAAACCCTAAACCCTAAAAGCTATTCGGTTCAGCTTTTCAGGGCTTGGTGTTTGGGGTGGGCACGTTCCGGGTTTGGGGTTGGGATGCGACAGGGATGTTGGGGGGTTTCAGTGAAAATTCTTGCAGACCCAACGTACCCACAGCCTTCTTTAAGAAACCCAGACCCCTAAGATGCAAAGCTATGCCAAGACGGTAACCCTTAAGCAGAAGCTCTGCAAATCCTAAAGCCGGAATCCCGAGCTCTCTACAGCCTCCAAGAACTCTGAACCCTCAACCCTAAGTTCGAACTCCTAAATCCTAAATCTTAAGCCCTCAACCCTTAACCCCCAAACCCTGAAGCCCTAAACCCCTAGACCCTAAACCCTAAACCCTAAAACCTAAACCCTAAACCCCTAAACCCCTAAACCCCCCCCGAAAGCCTTGCAAAGCCAAGGCACGGCCTGGAGTTCATTGCAGAGCCGGGGCCCGCCGTTCACCCGGCCTTTGGGCGCTCCCTTTCCGTGACCTCCCGGTCTCAGGACGGTTTTTTTGAGACTTAGGGTTTAGGGCTTTAGGGGTTGAGGGGTTCAGGGGTTTAGGGTTTAAGGGTTTAGGGTTTAGGGTTTTGGGTTTTGGGGCTTTGGGCTCAGTGTACTTGCACAAAGGATAACAGTAATCTCTGCAATCCCCCCAAATCCAAAACCCTACTTCCGCGGCTCTTCGAGACCCGCCGTGTCGCAGTGTAGAGCTTCCACACCAGAATGCCTTCTGCAGGAGTTCTTACCCTTCACCCTCTCTGAAGCCTAGTGGTTGGGCTTTCGGTGTTGATCATGGTCCTGGCCATGAGCACTCTCTTCGTCGTCGTGCTGCCTTACTCGCTGCCATCGTTCATCATCCTCATCATCACCCTCGTCGTCGTCGTCGTCGTCGCAGTCGCCGTCGTCCTCATCCTCCTCCTCATCACAATCACCACCATCATCATCATCAGCCTGATCCTCGTGCTCATCCTCCACATCCCCATCCCCGTCCCCATCCCCATCCCCATCCTCATCCTCATCATAATCCTCATCCTCATCATCATCGTCGTCGTCGTCGCCGTCCTCCGCCTCCTCCTCGTCCTCCTCCTCCTCCTCCTCATCATCATCATCTTCATCATCATCATCATCATCATCACCATTACCATTACCATTACCATCATCATCATCATCATCATCTTCATCATCATCATCATCATCTTCATCATCTTCATCATCGTCATCGTCATCATCATCATCATCATCATCATCATCATGCTCGTCGTCACCGTCACTGTCGCCATCACCATAACAATCACAATCACCGGCAACACAACAGCATTTGCACTGCCATCATCAGCATCGTCTTCATCACCACCACAAGGAGCATCATCCTAATCCGCATACTTCTCGTCGTCCTCCTGCTCCTCGTACTGCCTTCTTCACCTCAATCGTCCTACAGTGGCCGTCGTCTTGTTCTCCTGTGCTCGCAATAGCATAGCTGCTCCTCCCGAAAGGAGGCGACCACTGGCACCATCCGGGCCGACGGCCTCGATAAGACCCACAAGAAGCACGTCTACAACTCTGCCCACAACTTCGGCCACCACGATGTGCGCAACAACATGAACCCCTTCATTGCGCAATATCGCATACCGAAGTGGGAGACGACAAGCACCATGTATGGTGAGCACTACCGGCATCCGGAACAGACCTACACCCGGCCAATGAAGAATCGCATGCCGGTGTTCCACATCAACCTGTGATCAGATAGCCTGTAGCTGGCGACATTCGCAGACGGTTTCACCCCCGATATGCTCGTGGCATCTAATCCCGAGCTGTGATGACAGTTGCAGTGCCGCCAAAGGTGGTTGCAAGGCCTCTCGAAGTTGCATACTCAACATATCCCACCGAACCCGAGACCTTAGTCAAGATGATCCTGATGAATATTGCATGCCGCTCCTCTCAGGAAGTTGAGCAAGTGCCAGACATCGCCTCAGCTCAGCCTGCCATCACTACCCCAGCTGCATCGGAATCTGCGACACCTCACAGTCACAAGTTTACAGGCAGATCAGAGCCCATCAGCCCTGAAACCTGCTGCAATGCTGGTATTGTGCTTGAGGCAGATGGACGTAGCGAGCAGAAAGCTCGAGAGCTTGTGTTTGCCATTCCTCATGCAGAGACAACAGTGCGCAAGGTTTGTGATGTACTTTTTCTGGTCCCTCTCTCACTGCTGATTTTTGTTTTTACCCTTTCCTCCCCCTCATCCGCATGCTCGTCCTCATCAGCATCGTCATTACCGACATCGTCACGCTCATCGTCGTCGTCAGTGTCAGCCGCTGTACTGTCTGAGCTGAGCTTACTCCTGCTGCGATGACGACCGCGACGATCTGCCACCTGCTTAGTGAACATGATTCATCATGGTTCCTGTTCTGTTTGGGACGGTCGTCTCGAATCTTCGTGTGGCATCCTAGGCTTCACCCTGACCCCCAAGATAACATATGCCTGCCCCAAACCCTACATCTCCAAGATGCCGGAGTCCCGAACTCCCAGAACACCAGCGAGAAACACCCTAAAGCTGGCGCGGTTTGTTCTTCAGTATGCTAGGATTCCGAACTTTGCGGCAAGATCTTGGTGCTACAAGGGTCCTGCATACAGCCTTACCCAAGGCTCAGGCATTGCCCTCCTCGGGTTTCGAGATTTTCGAACCTGTGATGAAAAGTTTAAGTTTCGTGTTTAGGGTTCAGGGTTTAGGGTCAGCCTAAACCCTAAACCCTAAACTCCAAACCCTAACCCTAAACCCCAAACCCTAAACCCCAAACCCCAAGGCTTCATAGCTTGAGGGCTCGGTGGTCTCGAGATTCGGGGGTTTCTGAGGGTTTGCTCCAGAATCCGAAACCGTACACCAATCGCGAAGCGAAATCCGCTTTGAGTTCTGATTCCGTGATGGATCCTGCACCCAGAATTTTAGGGTTTAGGGTTTAGGGTATTTCTCCCCTTCCCTTTCCCCCTTACTCATTTCGCCAGGGAGTCGAGAACCCCGAACCCCTGTCGCTTCGGCACCCAGGTTCACATCTGCCAGAATCTGCGACTCCTCCAAGAAAGACTCACAAAGGAACAGCTCCCCATGTCCAGCCCCGAACCTCCCCAGCCTTCAGCAGAACTTATTTTTTCTTGTTACCGGCCTCAGTATTGCTGCCACTTGCTGTTGCCGTTGCTGTTGACGAGTAGCAATACCAAGAAAATATGTAACTTCTTCTGCTGTTGCTGGTGCTGCTGCTCCTCCTCCTCCTCCTCCTCCTACTACTGCTACTGCTGCCACCGCCACGTACCATTGGTCGATGACGACGATGGTCCTATAAATCTCTTACCAATGCTCTTGCTCGTTCGTATCATTATTGCTGTCATTGTGCAGCGCTTGTCACCCGAAGGCCCCGCTGCAAGACGCGACGGGCAGTGCCTTCAGACGTCGCGAGCCAGCGGCCGCCTTTGGGTCCTGAGATCGACTCTTCCGGGGTTTATCCTAAACCCTAAACCCTAAACCCCTAAACCCCTAGACCCCTAACCCCCTAAACCCTAAACCCCTAAAGCCCTAAACCCCTGAAGTCTACAGGGGTTCTGTAAGGGTGCAGGGTTCGGCCGGGGCTGGGGGGTTTGGGGGTTGTGGGGCTTGGAAGCGCCTAACCGTGGCCCTGCACCCGGAGACGCAACACGGCAAACCCTAAATCCCAAATCTGAGTGAGACAGAAATCTCGACTCCCAGGGTCGATAACGAGTTCGGAATCTTAGATGCCAAGCCCTACTATCTTCTCTTACCAGTCCTGCTATTCGGGCAGCATGTGAGTTTGCACGATCCGTTACAGTAATTCATGTTATAACGAAGGGCACCCAAAGCAGCCCTATTCTAGAGAACCCCCCGTCTCACTTTCTGCGATTCGGCGGTCCTTGTCTCAAAGCAACGTCGGCCTCAGTCGGGGTCTGGCGTGCGGCTGCCCATGGAGAAAGTGCCTCTGGTCTGGAGGGCTTGAGGGCTATGAAGGTTTGGGGGGTGCCGGTCCATGAGAGGATTTTCAGAGGGTTTAGGATTCCATGTGACTTGAGGTGTCAGTGTCCAGACATCAGCGACACTGGGCTTGAAAGCCAGGAGTCAGAGATCTTGGGATTGCACTTAGCAGTTTCGCTTCCTCAACTCCCTCGGGGCATTGCCATCCCCCCACTGCCTGGGCTCGTGTACAACCAGCATGAAGCTTCACAGAACGAAGAGCCTTCACACGTGTGCAAGTAAGTGCATGGCCATCCGGCATCTATATTCGCGAAGCAGCAAACAAGGGCAGCAGGCACACCTGTCTGTGGTCAAAGCACATGAACGCTGACCGCGCCGGTCTTCTTGTTTAGCTACTGTTAGCCGCCATGGCGCTCATGGGCGAGGCGAGCTGGCACATTTGTGAGTCTGCGTGCTCTCATCTTTCCCCTAAACACGAAACTTTTGAGCCCGAAAGTCCTAAAGGGTCCCAGCGCAGATTCCTTTCTAACCCTAAATCCTGAACCCTAAAACCCTAAGACCCTAAAACCCTAAAGCCCTAAAGCCCTAAAGCCCTAAACCCCTAAACCCTAAAACCCAAAACCCTAACATCCCGAACTCTCGTTCCCCGAAGGCCTTTATTCTTGGCACGGCGCCTGCGGCGCCTGTCACGAGGCCTAGGTCGAGTCTTCTGCTCAGCCATACTTACTATACCATAGGCCCCTAAGTAGTTTCTTTTTGGGATTACCTTATAGGATTCTAAATATAAGCCATAAAAAGGAACTACTTTGGGGCCTTTGGGTATACTATAGTTGCTGTGCGGCCATACTGGACAAAAGTTACTGTCGGCTTTGCGGTACAGGTCTGGGGGTTGGGGGTGTCTTTGGAGCCTTCCCGTTAGCAGAAAGAATGCATTTAGCGCACAAATCACAGAGACTCGCTACACTATTGGCCCTTTCAACAATCTTCATCAACAATCTTCATGGCCATGGGTAGCCAGGAAAAGCAGGTATGAGATATGATGTGAGAGAAACGGGCAGAAGGGAACCTCTTAGGAGTTTCACTCTGGAAGCTACATATGTTTGGGGTTTAGGCCGTTCAGGCTTCGGAGTTTAAGGTTTATATAGGGTTTGAGGAGCTTGGGACGTCTCGATTTCCTGAGAGCCTGTTCTAAGCTCGGTGTTCTGTGGTGTATGGACAGCTGATGTGGCCTTTGCGAGGGGCTGGTCTTAAATCAAGACTTAAATAAACCCCGAACCCGGTACTTCGTAGCAGTTGGTTCCGATCTTTTCTGCACAGGTTCCCCTCGAAGCCTCAGCGGGCAACGCGTCAGGTCCCGGAGCGAGGCTGGTGGGTGGGATGCGTCTTTTCCGATAGTGCGGCTTAGTACAGGCTATGGTAGTTTGATTCAACTGGGTTTTGTGGCCCATATTCCATGATGTAAAATAGCACTACACATCTCTTGCTGACGTGTTTGAAGGTTTCGTAGGCAGGGTCCGTTCTTTCCGCATTACATGGCTGTAACGTAGCTCAGTACGCGGCAGCGCTTCATGGATATTCCTGAAAAGTGTAACGTGCAGGTGGAATAGACGTGCTACTTATACTACCCGTTGCTCTGACCTGTCTGCAATTGATTTAATTGTGCACGCGAGCGCTGCTCACTTACCAAAGCAATCTAGAAACGTGCATCCGTACAGACATACTTGCAAGCAAGCAAGCAAGCAAGAAAGCATGCATGCATGCATGCATGCATGCATGCATGCATGCACACACGCATGCATCATGCACACATCCGAAAATCTATTTTACATTCGGCATGGTCTGCATGTAGTTATTCCAACATGTGCATGCATCAGACACTCCGTCCTCCTCTCCGTGTCAATGTTTATGGTATAAATGGATACCCTTTGACGAAGCCACGTGTAGTTCGGAGACTCAAGGTGCGTCGTCGACGCTTGCATCGGCTGCCATGGTGTTGGCGGCGGGCGTTGTGGCAAAGAGGTGTGCCGCGATGGCGGTGCACTTGTGAACTTTGGATCATTGCAATTCGCGGGTGAGTGTGAGCGAAGGTGCCAACATGGCTTCAGCATGTCTGTAAGAACGCTATAGGGGCGCTGTACAAGGCACCGTGTTGCCCAACATGGGCTCATCTAGCACGGAGCCATCGCGAAAGACAGAGGTCTCAAAGAAGACTATGCAGTCAGGCGGATGGCGGACACGCGAGCGACCGCAGTGGCCACAAGGGTCCGGGCCCTGACTCTGCGTTGCTTGGAGACATGGCTGAGATGTCAAAGTGTGATCTGGGACGCAAGATAAATGTGAGCGATGCTGCCCTTGCAATGCAGAGAAACGCCCTTGAAGCTCCAAAGCGTCCGCCCAGGGGAAGAGAGTGCTGCCCAGGATCGTAAAAGCGGCTGCCAGAGCCCAAGACTTCAACAAGAGCGCGACGAGTGCGTCATTGGCTTCTTGGCGACGGTCCGGGGGACGTTGCGGCTTTGGAGCCCATGGCCCTCAAGCTACTCTGGACACCTTGGAGTCGAAGGGCTTCCCTCCAAAAAAGGTGTTCCGGTCTCGATCTTTTCTGTTTGTTCGGTGACCAGGCGACGGCGACGGCACCTGTAGCGGCCAATGTTGCTGGATTGACAGGTCGGGATCTCGGGGTGGGGAGGGATACCACCGAGAATAGGAGAGTTGCCAGTTTGCGCGGCATTTTCTGGCAGGGGGTATGGAATCCCATCCAGTCAT